ACAGGTCTGTATGTATACTGAGACAGAGGTATGTATGTATACTGAGACAGAGGTCTGTATGTATACTGAGACAGAGGTATGTATGTATACTGAGACAGAGGTCTGTATGTATACTGAGACAGAGGTCTGTATGTATACTGAGACAGAGGTCTGTATGTATACTGAGACAGAGGTCTGTATGTATACTGAGACAGAGGTATGTATGTATACTGAGACAGAGGTCTGTATTTATACCGAGACAGAGGTCTGTATGTATACTGAGACAGGTCTGTATGTATACTGAGACAGGTCTGTATGTATACTGAGACAGGTCTGTATGTATACTGAGACAGGTCTGTATGTATACTGAGACAGGTCTGTATGTATACTGAGACAGGTCTGTATGTATACTGAGACAGGTCTGTATGTATACTGAGACAGAGGTCTGTATGTATACTGAGACAGAGGTCTGTATGTATACTGAGACAGGTCTGTATGTATACCGAGACAGGTCTGTATGTATACTGAGACAGAGGTCTATGTGTATACTGAGACAGAGGTCTGTATGTATACTGAGACACAGGTCTGTACTGTATGTATACTGAGACAGGTCTGTATGTATACTGAGACAGAGGTATGTATGTATACTGAGACAGAGGTATGTATGTATACTGAGACAGAGGTCTGTATGTATACTGAGACAGGTCTGTATGTATACTGAGACAGGTCTGTATGTATACTGAGACAGAGGTCTGTATGTATACTGAGACAGAGGTGTCTATGTATACTGAGACAGAGGTCTGTATGTATACTGAGACAGAGGTATGTATGTATACGGCGACAGAGGTATGTATGTATACTGAGACAGAGGTGACCATACTCTGCTGGTTGTGTGGGTGTCTTTGAGTACCTGTGCGTCCTTATTTATTTGTTTGGAGGATAAGCCCCTAGAGATGAAACATTCTCGTTTTTCTGCAAGAAATCAGTCCAAAATTTTCCCTTGCATTAACAGCTCATGTTGGTTTGTGCCCAAAAGTAAAATTGTTGGTGAAGAACAGATTTAATGACACCCATTGGCTGACATTATGCATTTCAGAATTTTTGATTAATGTCCAATACTCCTCCCTGTAACAATCAATAGTTTTGGTCTGTGTCCATCTCCCTCACTGTAGTAGTGGACATGTTTATTACCTCTATTGTATATTGTAGACTATTGCACTTTATGGAGTTGACTGCGGGAAACCTTCGCAGTCAACCATTGGTTTTTGGTGTTCTTTATTCCGTCTTTTTCCTTGATTTTTGACACGTTTCACAGCTTTCTCATTTTCAACAATTTCCGACAAGTTATACACAAAAACGTTCCACATGTTTGGGAGATTTTTGCTATTCTTTGGACTTCTGCATTGAGAATTCTGCAACTTATGGGGCTTCCACAAATTTAATAGGCCCATTTCATTTTAATAGGACTGCGTTTTTCAGCTCTTTCAGACCATTTCTAGAAATTCTGCGTTTCAATGATTCAACAGTTTCAAGGATTCAAATCAGTTTCAAGGACTTCATTTCAAGGACTTCAGCAGTTTCAAGGATCTTTCAAGAGTTTCAAGGACTTCATCAGGATTTCAAGGACTTCCATGTAAGGACCAGTTTCAAGGACTATAATGCAACTTAATAGGGGTTTTCCATGTACATGGGTTTTTTCATGTAAACCAAAATGCCAGTATTTTTTCATGCAACTTAATAGGGTTTTTTCCATGTAAACCAGTATAATGCAACTTAATAGGGATTTTTCCATGTAAACCAGTACAATGCAACTTAATAGGGATTTTTCCATGTAAACCAGTATAATGCAACTTAATAGGGTTTTTTTCATGTAAACCAGTATAATGCAACTTAATGGGGATTTTTCCATGTAAACCAGTATTATGCAACTTAATAGGGATTTTTCCATGTAAACCAGTATAATGCAACTTAATAGGGTTTTTTTCATGAAAACCAGTATAATGCAACTTAATAGGGTTTTTTTCATGTAAACCAGTATAATGCAACTTAATGGGGATTTTTCCATGTAAACCAGTATAATGCAACTTAATAGGTTTTTTTTTTACATATAAACCAGTATAATGGAACTTAATAGGGTTTTTTCCATGTAAACCAGTATAATGCAACTTAATAGGGATTTTTCCATGTAAACCAGTATAATGCAACTTAATAGGGTTTTTTTCATGTAAACCAGTATAATGCAACTTAATGGGGATTTTTCCATGTAAACCAGTATTATGCAACTTAATAGGGATTTTTCCATGTAAACCAGTATAATGCAACTTAATAGGGTTTTTTCATGTAAACCAGTATAATGCAACTTAATAGGGTTTTTACATGTAAACCAGTATAATGGAACTTAATAGGGGTTTTTACATGTAAACAAGTATAATGGAACTTAATAGGGGTTTTTACATGTAAACCAGTATAATGCAACTTAATAAGGATTTTTACATGTAAACCACTATAATGTAACCTAATAGGGGTTTTTACATGTAAACCAGTATAAAGCAACTTAATAGGGATTTGTACATGTAAACCAGTATAATGCAACCTAATAGGGATTTTTCCATGTAAACCAGTATAATGCAACCTAATAGGTTGCATTATACCACCAGACCAAGACCCAAACGAAGACTCAGACCACCACCAGATAATGACCACAGACCAGGTTTCCTTAGTTACAGGAACCAAATTGTTTCAGCGGTGAGGGGATTTTTCAGTTTCAAGGACACTTTCAATACATTCAGTAGTTTCAAGGATTTCAACTGTTTAAGAATTTAACCAGTTTCAAGGATATCAGGAGGTTCAAGGATTTCAGGAGTTTCCACACTTTCAACAGTTTCCAGGTTTAAAAAAGTTTCAAGGATTTCAGGAGTTTCAATGTTTCAACAGTTTCAAGGATTTCAGGAGTTTAAAGGTTTCAACAATTTCAAGGACTTCAGGAGTTTCAAATATCTATCAAGTATTTTAACAGTTTCAAGGCCTTTTAAAGGATTTCAAGGATTTTTTTTAGCAGATTTCCACATTAGATCTGTTCCGCAGTCAATCGCAATGGCTTCAGCCATTGCAAGTTTCTAGTTATTATTATTATTACGAAAGGATCACAAAGAGATTGGAACGAGGAAGTTTTCACATTTGCAGAACACATGTTAAACTTTTAAAGCATTAACGCATAGTGAGAATTTTAAAAATGCATTTTTATTTTTGGTCTCACAATCACAGTATTTGTATGATGTTTGCATGATAATCATTACTTTGGTCTTTGCTCAATAATTGTCTCCTAAAGTGACTGACGTTGTCCTCTTTGTGTCTCCCTCCGGTTCCTCTGGACTCGCAGCTTGTGGAGGTGAGTTGGTTTCTCTGGGACAGACGGAGACGTTGCATGACTCACACTTCTCTGCATATGCTGCTGATGCTGCGGCGCCGCGGAGGCAATCAGGCTATTAGCTTTGAACATTTGCAAAAGCAGCTGTGATTGCCTTCCATTAGCATATGTGTTCAAGTGGAGTGTGACATTAACTCAATGCATGGCTGAATGTGATGACTGCAATTCTAACTCAATCAGAATGTCAAGTAATGGTCACTGTAAGCAGGTACTTGAGACAGACTGAAGCTGTCAAAGCACCGTGTGAGATTAAGACAAGCTGCTTTGAAGTCTTATTCTCTGAGCCACAGGAACTGGACTAATGTGGTTCTGGTCAGGACTTGAGCAGCAGCGGTTTGAATATACTGAAACTCAGCAACAACACAGTTACAGGCCTAAATAAAACTTGTCACTATCATGTAAAAAAACAAAGGTTGTCACTCGTTGAGTTAAGGATAATAAGAGCCGCGTCAGGTGCATGTAAAGTGAATGTGAAACAGCAGGTTTTATAATAACTGTGATCTTCAATTAGTTCTGTGCCACAACACTGTCAGACTCTTACGCAGAGATGAGGGAGCGTTAGATAAATGTGCAGCGACGCTCGTCGGGAAAACCTCCTGTTTAATAAACTCATCACACCTCAGAGGTTAATGAGGGCTGAGCCACACGCGCCCTCTGATTGGTCACAACCTTATTTCTTTTTCATTTTCTTTATTTATTGCTCATGGCCATGTAGTGTGTATGGAGCACTAGTTACAAAACAAAACAGCAAAGTAATACGTCTTAACAAAGGAAGGAGCATTTTCAAAAGTGCCCCGAGTAACAGATTCTATTCTGTAGCTTCTGTTTTGCTTAAGTGTGATTTTTATTATTTATTTTTTTGCATTGATGGGATTTTGACATAATTCTAATGGAGATATCTGTCTCTGTGTTCATTATTCAAGCGCTCCAACAGTAAATGAAACTTACCCCCAGTGTGATCAACCTGCACAAAGGTTACAAACGCGTGGATGCCCTTGTATCGTCCAGTGATCTTGGATAATCTGTTTTTTCCGGATTTGAACAATTTTCTGATTTTCTAAGTTTCATATGTACTACCAATACTAGATGTGGCGCCACCTGCAGGTGAAAGCCAGACTGTTGTTCACTCACATTAGAATGAAGTGGGAGGGGCAGATGGCACATATTGGTTGCCTTGCTTCTATCAGGACAGCTGTGGCTATATACTGTGCAGCATCTTTGAGTTTCCAGAACAGCTCTGTATAAAACCAATGCATTATTATTATTAGATTTCTCCTATAAGCTTTTTGTCCATTTATTTTGGATCCTTAGTTGGCATTTCCTCAATAATATTGAGATATCTCGAGTAACAAAAGAGTAACAAGCCTGAGTTGCATAATATAGTTTATATATTATGTCCATAACCACCACATTATGATGACCTTTGCAGTAGTCATAATGTTTTGCCTGTTTTGTCCACATTGCATTGGGAAAGCTCTTTGGGAATTACTGTCTGGACAATGATTCTCCTCCATGTTTCCTCTCTCTCTCTCTCTCTCTCTCTCTCCCCTCTTCCTCTCCGCTCTCCGTATCTGGTCCAAACCGGTTGTTCCAGGTTCCGGCCCGGTCAGATCTCGGCCTGTCCCGGAGCAGCAGGCGGCCCGTCATGGGGAGGAGGGTGAGTGCTTGAAATGCTCCGGGGGTCTGATGGGTTTGTATGGCTGCTTATCTCCACCACAGACGGGATTGTATTTGGAGCCTTTTTGTATTTATTTATTTGGTGGTTTTCCAGCGAGGAAAACAAAGGGCTCCAACATGACTCAGATGTTCTGTTTTGTGAATATTGAAGAGATATTCAGAGCTAAATATTCAAAACTGTTCAGAACTATTCACAACTCGTCACTGCTGCCGAGTACTTCAAAATGACAAGTGCTTTGTACGACCTTGTCTGTGACCAATGTCAAAAAAATGAGCCATATAAACTCTACTCTACTCTGGACCTGGTTGAGTTTCCATCATGCCTAATATCTGGTACTGTATCCTAGCAAAGTACCCACAACAAACCCGTATCCAGGGAATATGTATTGGTAACCATGGCTTCCAGCAGCACTCTGGCCAATCACAGTCAGTTAGAACACTTAAGTACCAGCTCAGCCTGGATAGAACCAGGACTAAGAGGGACAAGAGGAAAGGGTTAAACAGGGCCAGTAGAGTAGAGTTGAGTTGAGCTGGTGGAAACAGGGCATTATCATTCTTGCTGGACAATGAGCTGCTACTTTTTAAAATTTCTTTTAACTCTGCGGTCAATGTATATATTTTGTTATTATTGTTCGAGCACCACCGGAAAATAGTAAAAACTTAAGACACTTTGACCTCCAGAGCTGATGGCGCAGCACACATTCCTGCTTCAGTGTGTTTATGTGAACAGTAGAGAAATACACTACACTTGTTTTGATGTGATTAAGGCTCTAAAACAAGCGTTTTGCTCCATTGGCAATGTTTATTAAGGCTTATATTTGGACTAAATAATGAAACTAATGTACTTTCTCTTCCAATCTAAGATGGTACAGTTTAGATCCAGGTGAGCTGAATAGTCCAGCAAGAACTTACAAACTAAATGATAAGTATATACAAAGCTAAAGATTGTTTTTTAGATGTTTTGTGATCATCTTACATGTTGATTGTTGCAACCAAAAGAGTCTTGTAAAAGTATAATGTTGTGAACAAATCAGACCACAACACCTCAGTAGATGAGGCTGAGTGAGGGCGCTCCTCTTTTTTCCTCTTTCACAATAATAATTACACAAATATAAATTATTTCTAGAAACAGGAAAATACAAGATAAACCTTTATGTGCCTCAGTAGAGAGATTTCAATGTCATAGTGGGGCCCATTACAACAGAATAGAAGGAGAAATAAGAGCACTCAGAATCTATGTTATAAGAAAATTGAATAATAAGGTACAAAGTTATGAAGGTCTGAGATTTGCATAATCTGAGTAATTACACTCACAGATCTAAAAGCTGTCAAATAGACTGCCCTGAGAGTTCTAGCGTTAACCAATTCACTGTACATGTCCTTTCTGGTTTTGCATCTTGTCACCTCTGAGACCAGAATGTGTTTGTTTGTTTGTTTGTTGTGTGAGTGACTCTTTGATTTTGTGCTGGAAGGCCGCGAGCTGCGAGTGGTTCTGAACACACACGACCCGGACTACGAGCACATATTCTCCATCCAGGCGTACGACGACCCCATGGACGAGATGCTCTACTTCAGCCCATCTGCCAACGAGACCCAGGGTACGACTGCCGCTGAGGCTGGGCTCTTTGGAACAGTCAGGGCTCTGTGCACAAAGTAGCAGCTTCCCACTCACTCACAGACACACACACACACACACTCACACATAGATACACACACCCACCAGCACCAGACTGCTCACCCACAGAGTTTACGATTGAAACCAGCATCGGTGCATGAAGACAACATTAACCAACATTCACAGGGATTATACAAATAGATAAATGTCCTGGAGCATCCCCTGTCCTTAGACCCTTCTCTTCACTCGGAAAACAACTTTTAAAAACCCCAGTGGGAAAAAGAGAAACCGCAAAGAGAATTCAATTATTGTCATGTATTGTTGGCTGGTGCTCTGTGTACTGGGTGCAGCTTTGACTGCCACCCCCCCGACCCAGAAATGGATTAAGGGGAAGAAAATGGATGGATGGATGGATGTTGTATAGCCCAATCAGATTCAGTTTATTTGCCCTTTGCAGTAAAACCACATTGGAAAACCTCAAAGAAGGTCCTGGGTTCTGTGTGGTTTGTTTGCATGTTCTCTTTTTTTAATATAACTAAAGATTACTTCCATACTTACAATCAAACCGTTTGAACACAGGAAATGCAATAATAACAAACACATAGGAGCCTTTGATCCATAGGGAGTGGGATGACCAATGTCCAGAAGTGTTCATAAATGTGGCTGAGTGGTTAGCCCTCTCGCTTCTCAGCAACAAGGTTCTGGGTTTGACTCTCCTCAGAAAGGCCGTGTCTGGAGGGGGAGTTTGTGTGTTCCTTCATCTGTCTGTGTAGGTTCTCTCCAGGTGCTCCAGATTCCCTAGCCTAGCCTTAGCCATCCGTACACTCCGTTCAATCATCATTTCACTGCATGTAACGTCTGGGTCTAGTCCCTATGTTAGCGATTACAATCGGTTGAATTTCGGCCGACCATTCAGAGAGCGCGGAAGGCAGGTGTTGTAGTTAGTTGTGGGCGATGTCAAGAGTTTGCGTGGAACAGGCAGGTTGTAGTTTGGTAATGGCAAAAAATGCAATATTAAAGTAATCCGGTCTGGTTCTATCAAGAAATTGAAGCCGGAGCAAGGGTAATGTTTAGCAAATGGAATCGCTGGTCAAGATTGTGGTGCTAGTCCCCACGGGCTCCGTTAGCGGCAAAAGAGATGGCTAGGCTAAATGCTAACAACAAACTCGGGCGCACTACACACGTCACGGTAAACTCAGATCCAATCGTTTCAATCTGCAAAAGGAGTTAATCCCTCCCACCTGTAAACGGAGCTCAATGGAGCACGTCCAGACCTTATTATGAAATGTCATTTGTACTATGGTGTGGTACGACCAGGCTACAGTTTCCCCTACCAATAATCCTATATCTAGCACATTTTAGAAAACAAGTAACACATTTAAAAACACACGTCTGCTTGCTTTTTGTATATCAAAATATTGACGTGAAATGAATAGAGCACTAAGATGTATACATAAACTACAATTAAAATACTTAAAAACAATAAATACTAAAACATGTACAGTAGATAAATCCCACTGCTTTGATTCTGACACAGAGCCTCAACACAACAGTTTGTGTGTTTGTGAGTGCGACTGTGCGACTACAGATGGAAAGAAGCGACTTAACTACAATCTGGTGTATGAATACACACTGTGCAAATTCAAATACATAAAATAGAAACGCGTCACTGGACAGAGGATTGGCATCACAGCACAGGTGTTCAGCACAAGGCCCCCGGGATCATTGCTAGTGGCCCCAAAACCTATTTTCAAATATTATGATGAGCGGCGGTTGGAGTTCAGGTCGTTAGCAGCGCAGTGTTAGCGCTGATGATTTCTTTAGAGAGGAGGGGTGGTTCTTTTCTGTCTGGTTTCAGTGTTTCCTGGTGTCTCGAGTTGAATGTAGATAAATCCATTCACACAAAGCTAAAAGCCCTAAGATACTTTTGTCTAGTTTGGTCCTGGTCTACTACAGGTCTCTGAGGACCGGTTCAAAGACCACTGCACTGAAGCAATGCACATGTTTGATCATGCTATTCACATACTTTACTTTCTTAAAGATATAAATCTTAAATATAATATTGCTGTGCAAGAGAGACGTCCTAGTTTGTGACTTCCTGTTGCTTACAATGGCAATAAAATTATTCTGTCTGTGTCTTTGTCCATGTGTGAGTGTGTCCATGTACGTGTGTGTGTGTGTGTGTGTGTCTGTGTCCATGTACGTGTGTGTATGTCCATGTACGTGTGTGTCTATGTGTCTGTGTCCATGTGCGTGTGTGTGTCTGTCTATGTGTCTGTGTCCATGTACGTGTGTGTGTGTCTGCCTATGTGTCTGTGTCCATGTACGTGTGTGTGTGTGTCTGTCTATGTGTCTGTGTCCATGTACATGTGTGTGTGTGTGTGTGTGTGTGTGTGTGTGTGTCTGTCTATGTGTCTGCGTCCATGTACATGTGTGTGTGTGTCTGTCTATGTGTCTGTGTCCATGTACGTGTGTGTGTGTGTCTGTGTCCATGTACGTGTGTGTGTGTGTCTGCCTATGTGTCTGTGTCCACGTACGTGTGTGTGTGTCTGTCTATGTGTCTGTGTCCATGTACATGTGTGTGTGTGTCTGTCTATGTGTCTGTGTCCATGTACATGTGTGTGTGTGTGTGTCTGTCTATGTGTCTGTGTCTATGTACGTGTGTGTCTGCCTATGTGTCTGTGTCCATGTACGTGTGTGTGTGTCTGTCTATGTGTCTGTGTCCATGTACATGTGTGTGTGTGTGTGTCTGTCTATGTGTCTGTGTCCATGTACGTGTGTGTGTGTGTGTGTGTGTGTGTGTGTGTGTCTGTGTCCATGTACGTGTGTGTGTGTGTGTGTCTGCCTATGTGTCTGTGTCCATGTACATGTGTGTGTGTGTGTGTGTGTGTCTGTGTCCATGTACGTGTGTGTGTGTGTGTGTCTGCCTATGTGTCTGTGTCCATGTACATGTGTGTGTGTGTCTGTCTATGTGTCTGGTCCATGTACATGTGTGTGTGTGTGTGTCTGTCTATGTGTCTGTGTCCATGTACGTGTGTGTGTGTGTGTGTGTGTGTGTGTCTGTCTATGTGTCTGTGTCCATGTACGTGTGTGTGTGTGTCTGTCTATGTGTCTGTGTCCATGTGCATGTGTGTGTCTGTCTACGTGTCTGTGTCCATGTACGTGTGTGTGTGTGTCTGCCTATGTGTCTGTGTCCATGTACGTGTGTGTCTGTCTATGTGTCGGTGACCATGTGCGTGTGTGTGTCTATGTGTCTGTGTCCATGTACGTGTGTGTGTGTGTCTGTGTCCATGTACGTGTGTGTCTGTCTATGTGTCTGTGTCCATGTACGTGTGTGTTCATTACCTGTGTGATTGACAGAAGCGGCTGTCAAAGAGGTATCAGACAAAAAGACGGCAGAGAAAAAGACAGACAAACCGGCCAAAGTGAGCACGCCTGTCATCCGGAAGGACGTGAAGACACAGAAGCCGCCCGCTGCGCCGAAGGCCAAGCCCAAACCTGTCAAGACCAAACGCATGGCCAAAGGGAAAGGTAAAATTCTGTTCTAATAAAGCCGTGGAGGAGCTGTCTGTTCCTCTTGACTCGGGCGCGTCACAGTCAGGACGCAGCAACAAGAACCAATATAACAAATGGAACGAGCCACAGGAGCAGAGTCTCACTGTTCCCTCTGAGGAAACACTTTTTAAATTGAATTTACAGGATAAGAACCTAACTTTTTTTGATTCTTTGATCTGTAGTTGGAAAATCGTCACGGCAGATGCATTAAGATAAGATAAGATAAGATGAACCTTTATTAGTCTCATAGTGGAGAAATGTCAGTGTCATCGTTGCACACATTACAGCAGAGAGAGGAAATAAGAGCACTCAGATTGCACACATCAAATAAGTCTATTATTTAAGATAATACATTTTACAAAATTAAGATAAGAATAAAATAAAATAAACTCTGGGCTATAATTGCACTTGGCTCAAAAGTATTTACAGATGTCTATGTACTTTATGGGAATATGCATATGAACAGAATAAATATCAGAAATAATATCAACAGGTAAAGTGACGGTGAAAGGCAGAAATATCAGATATGTAATACTGTAGTAGTACTGATAACAGTAAATATCAGATATGTAGTACTGTAGTAGTACTGATAACAGGTAAAGTGACTAGTGACAAAGTTACTAGTGAATTATCAGTGATATTTGTACAGACTCAGCTGTTCTTGTTACACATTCTCGTTGTACAGTCTGACAGCAGCAGGGAGGAAGGACCTGCGAAACCTCTCCTTCACACATCGAGGGTGAATTAGTCTGTCACTGAAGCTGCTCTCCAGAGCAGAGAGAGTGTCCTACAGGGGGCGACAGTCATGGTCCAGCATAGATGTTAGTTTGCTCAGGACCCTCCTGTCCCCCACCTGCTGCACTGTGTCCAGGGAACAGCCCAGGACTGAGCTGGACTTCCTGATGACCTTGTCCAGCTTCTTCCTGTCCCTCTCTGTGATGCTGCTGTTCCAGCAGACCACACCGTACAAGATGGCTGATGCCACCACAGAGTCATAGAAGGTCTTCAGGAGTGGCCCCTGCACTCCAAAAGACCTGAGCCTCCTCAGCAGGTAGAGCCGGCTCTGGCCTTATGGTTGTTATGAGTCCAGCCCAGTTTGTGGTTTAGATGAACACCCAGGTACTTGTAAGAGTCCACTCTCTCAATTCCCTTTCCCTGGATGTTCACTGGGGCTGGAGCAGCAGAGTGGCGTCTGCAGAAATCCACCACCATCTCCTTGGTCTTCCCCGCGTTGATGAGGAGGTGGTTCCGCTGACACCAGTCCACAAAGTTCTGTATAACTCGCGTCATCGTCCTCGGAGCTGAGTCCGATGATGGCAGAGTCGTCGGAGAACTTCTGGAGGACACAACCGTCCGAGGAACGGTGCGAGGACAGTCCCCTGGGGGGGCCCCACACTGCAGGTCAGGACCTCAGACACACAGTCCCTGGTTCTCACAAACTGGGGTCTGTCTGTGAGGTAGTCCAGGATCCACTGGGACAGGTCGTAGTCCACACCGGCAGTCTCCAGCTTGTCCCCAAGAAGCCTCGGCTGGATGGTGTTGAAGGCGCTGGAGAAGTCGAAGAACATAATCCTCACAGCAGTGCCGGGTTTCTCCAGGTGGGACAGCGAGCGATGGAGGAGGGAGATGATGGCGTCCTCTACTCCGATGCCCGGCCTGTAGGCAAACTGCAGCGGGTCCATCGCTGGGCTCAGAGTGGAGCAGAGATGTCCCAGGACCAGTCTCTCCAGTGTCTTCATGTTAGAGCCACCGGCCTAAAGTCGCTGAGGTCTTTGGCCCGTGGTTTCTTGGGCACTGGTACCACACAGGAGGTCTTCCAGAGCTGTGGTACCAACCTCAGCCTCAGGCTTAGGTTGAAGACATGCCCCATGACCCCGCACAGTTCATCTGCGCAGGAGCTGAGGAGCCTGGAGCTTACGTGATCTGGTCCCGCTGCCTTCCTGGTCTTGATTTTCTTCATCACACCTCTCACTTGAGCAGGTCTGAAAGAAAGGGGAGGGCTGGGTGAGTCTGTGTGTCTGATGGTGCTTTCAGACCGGATCATGCGTTGCGTCGAGTTTCAATTCAAAGTCTATGGTGGCATGCACGAACGGACTGTTCAATAATGACGCATCAGCCATCTTGTACGGTGTGGTCTGCTGGAACAGCAGCATCACAGCTTATGCAACTGCTTCGAGTGTGTTCACCGATGCGGAAATTCCGTTTAATAATATGAAAAAACGTATTGAAAAAACGTATGGCGCACCTCCGTGAACACATACTACTGTTGTATAAAGCCCGTGGAATGTCTGTGAGCAAAGACACGCTGCAAAGCTGCATATTGGAGAAGATCTGTACACAAGAAGCCGCTAGCATAGCTCTGTTAGCATTAGAGCCGGCCGGCTACTTCTGGTACTTCCGGCTCGCGTCAGGACGTTCTGGTGTGAAGTCCTCTGCGTCTGAAAACTAGAGAATGCGCGTCTGGTGAGCGGGGCTTCCGCGTTTCAGCGTTGGCAGTGTGAAAGCCCCATAAGGCTGAGTTTACACGGAGACAATGTGGCAGTAAAACGGTATAGTTGGATGTCGGTTGCTACCAAACGTTCATACGAAGACAGTGTTCCAGGGGGGTGAAAACGTAAGTGTTCAGATCCAGCCTGCAGAGTGGGACAACTCAGATACGCTGCACAGCGGGGAGCTCTTTCACACCCGCGAGAGGGGAAAAGGTGTGAAATCCCCCTCTGCTCTGACCCCCGCCTCCGCGCTGCTCCCCGCACGTACATTTGGACATGCGCAGTAGCGGAGAACAAATGTAAACAACAATGGTGCCGCGCACACCAACTAGCTTCGTGGGCTTCCAGCGCTGCACAGAGGATAATTCTACTCCTTCGTTCGTCCAAACGAGATCATGCAAAGCTCTAGGTTCAGTTTCCATTTTCACAGCTGCTCTAAAAAGGCAGAATGATGTTGGTGCGTTCTGAGGGTCTGGCACAGGAAGTGAGTACACTGCCGAGAGGGGGGCTGGGCACGGGGCAGGGGGTCGTGTGTCGTTTTGTAAAGTTTCTCTGCCCACTACTGGCCGGGCGCTAGAACTACATCGTTTTTCAACCTCATGTGAACGCTGAGACATTTGCATTAGGAGCCAGGTCGTTTCTATTAATAACCTGGAAACGTCTGCGCAGCGTCTCAGTATAAACAGGGCCTGAGGGGAGGGGGGCCGTGGGGCACTGACAGAGGTGTGAACGACTGGGCTGTTGTCCACTGCTGAGGCGGCTAGGGCATGCAGCTGAGCTGGGGGAGGGGTGGGTCTCTGATCAAAATGCAGGACAATGCATGAAACAATGCATTTAACAATGCATTTGAGAAAAAAAAATTATTGCTGTAATTTTTGTTAATATTTTTCACGAGGAGTTAGTGGACATGTGTGCCTTTAGTATGAGCGGCCTTTGTGGGAATGGTTATATTCAAAGTATTAGAGTAAAATAAGTTTGTAAAACACCTGCGGCTCAGCGACACGAAACAGGAGCCGTAGTTCTGAGCGGAGCCAGAGCAGAACCAGAGGTCTCCTGAGATCAGAGAAGTATTTGGTACTGGCTCACTCAGATTCAGAGGAGGAAAACACTCAGGTGTCCAGTGAAGTAGACACAGACATTATTAGTGACAGGAGTCCGCGCCATAATAGTGTGAGATTTCATAACACTTTTAAGCAACTTTTGTTAAAGTTAAACTCATCATTCTATCAATGTGCAGAAGCCTGTACTTTTCCCTTGTTGTGTCTATCTGAAGGCCAAGCTACAAGCACACCGTGGAAGCTGCTGATTGGAGGTCTCCATGCCTCCGCTCTGTATAATACACTTGCATTCTCTTGTATCTGTGTTCGTGTGCTTTGTTCGTGCTGTCTCTACCATCGACAATAAAACATGTCTTCTGTCTGAATTAAAGACGCGATCCCAGACATGTCATCTTCTTCAGGTGGTGGAAGGATGCGGGCCTTGTCTGTAACATCTACAGAACAGAAGACTACTTTTTTTTTACACAAAAATGTGTTTTTTTTTTCAAGCCAAAACTGAGAAACCTCAAGAGAATGCATCTGGACCAGCACACATGGACAATCTGCACAGCCCCTGATTCCACTCAGGCTGTGAGCTGCTGAGACATGGACAACACCAGCGTCCTCTTTTGCATGGACATCATTTGGAACAATCTGGATTTCTGAATTTGGACATCATTTGGACTGAATTGGATTTCTGAATCTGGACACTAAAGCTGAAACGTGTGATTGAAAGACACGTCACAGAAGAATTCATGGCTCGACACAAATGCAGCCTGAAGAAACCAACAGAAGTGGGAGAGACTGTTTTCAAAGCAATATCTGGAACCACCATCGACTGATGAAGTTTGGTATTTTACTGAAGATTGTTGACAAGTTTTATGAAAGATCTGAACATGTTTTATGAGTTTTCTGAGTTTTTGAAGTATTCCGAGTTCTGAGTTTTTTGAAGTACCGAGTTTATGAGTTTTTGAAGTATTGAGTTATGATGTTATGTTGCTGTTTATCGATCCTGATGGTCACACGTGAATGTATGACCAGAGGGGGGAATGTGAGATTTCATAACACTTTTAAGCAACTTTTGTTAAAGTTAAACTCATCATTCTATCAATGTGCAGTACTTTTCCTTTGTTTTGTCTATCGGAAGGCCAAGCTACAAGCACACCGTGGAAGCTGCTGATTGGAGGTCTCCATGCCTCCGCTCTGTATAATACACTTGCATTCTCTTGTATCTGTGTTCGTGTGCTTTGTTCGTGCTGTCTCTACCATTGACAATAAAACATGTCTTCTGTCTGAATTAAAGACGCGATCCCAGACATGTCATCTTCTTCAATAGTCCACAGACAGCCACAGTTTACGTCCTCCGTGTGGCCCCGTGGTAAAGATGCCCGGCTTTTCGGAGTCAGCGTTAATGCGGTCCGCACATTAAAAGCAGATAGCCGCTTTATGCGGTTAATTGCAGTAACATTGGAAAGAGAAGCCGCGGGGATGAGCCGCCACAATGCACTTTTTAACATAAAGCGGCTTCCCACTTTTAATGTGCGGACCTCTTTACCGCTGACTCCGAAAACCCGGGCCTCTTTACCGCGGTGTGTGGCCACAGTGGAAACATTCTGCGAACGCCAGGCAGGGGACATGGTGAAGGGGACAGGGGGGTCATAACACCGGGCATGTGGGTGAATGCAGCGGGGAACCCGGGAGACGTGGCAGAAGCCGCCGACGAAAACACACCGCTAATCTGCCTTTACGGACGGCAATGATGATGATGAAGGCAGAGAGGAAGAAAATCCATAAAAGTGGATCAGAAGTGTTGAAGAGCCTGTTGTTTATTGTTGAGACAATCTGACAAGTTCTGAGCCCATTCATTTAATCGCTCTGTTTCTAAACGATGAATTCTGGAGCCTCATTTCCACTGAGACAAACTGTATTTGTCTCAGTGGAATCTTTCAAAACCTTATCTTTTGAAAGAGTTTTATTGATACCAAATGCCATCTTGATCATTGAAGGTCTAATACATAATACAATTTCATATGGCTGCTGACCAGTGCTAAAATATTGTATATAAATTGGATCAGTGAATTTATTTCTATCCCGCATTGTGTTTTCATACTAAAGGTATTTCACGTAGACTGTTGACAGTATTCCCAGATCTCAAAATACACTCTCAAACTACAGCTTTTTAAAATCTTTATACAATAATTAACATTTTCCAAAATGGCCACCACCTTGATGACATCACAATATGCAAATTAGATGACAAATCAACATCTATCCCAAAGTTTGGTTCATACTGAAGATATTTCTCATTTACAATATGCCTTCATCTCAAACTACTTTAAGTTATAGCCTTTTGAAATCTTGAAATCAAAATTGTAAAATTTTTGAAAGAAATGGGCTTAGTGCTGCATGAAAATCCCTCGTCAAAGGCCTGGGCTCCGCACCGTGCTCCTCTTTGCTGTCATCGTTGCAACATGTCCAGAAGTTCTTTTTAGCACTAACCATGTTGTGGGTTTAGTGAGAAAATTAGCATTACAGTCACACTGCTAGCTCTCAGACATGGATTTACATTTGTCAATCTGAATGTTGTGATACAGGAAACACGGCACAGAGATTAACCCTTAGCCAATCAGGACGCAGAACACAATACGCTGGTTCTTCCTTAGCCAATCAGGATGAACATTGCAAGTTCATATACAGTGAAAATCATGCAACAAATAAATCTGCAAGACCGCAAAAAGAGAACCGCTATTCATCTGAGGAGACTCCGATTCAGAATAAAGAATAACACATTTTTCCTATACGGAAGTTTCTGATTTGGTGTTTGTATGTAATTTTTTTACTATTGAAGAAGATGACATAGTCTGGGATCGTGTCATAAATTCAGACAGAAGGCATGTTTTATTGTCGATGGTAGAGACAGCACGAACAACAGATACAACAGAATGCAATTGTATTATACAGAGCGGAGGCATGGAGACCTCCAATCAGCAGCTTCCACAGTGCCATGTAGTGGAACTGATCCCCCCCTCTGGAGGAAACCCTGCCGGTCTAGACCCTGGTGCTGCTGGTACCCCCTGGTCTAGACCCCGGTGCTAGAGTCCCTCTTGATCCTAGTTGTGGTGGAAGCCGACAACGTGATGATTCCTCCAATGGTGTGGCAGTGATGGGGAGGAGGCAGGTTGCTGCACTAACTGAGAGGCTCTGTTTAAATGCAGCAGTGAAGTGATGAATTGTTATAGAAATGTTGTGATGATCCATCAAAACAGAGTAATTTGTGTGCTTTAATGAAGGTAAAAAAAAATCAAAGACAAAGTGACTCAGTTTGTTTGAACATGATCAGGAGAGAGTGTCACCTCGAAGAAATGACCATCACTGTTTTGGAAATGCAAATTCTATTCACAAAACAGAGCCTTATAATTTTCACCCAAATGTCAAAGAAGTTTTGATTAAAGCTAATGAAGTGCTAATTAGTGCATACTTTATAGTTAATTACCTCATAATTTGAATGTATTAATCACATATTAGTTTTTTTCTACATGGCCTTATTCAACATCTAATTAGCTCCTCACTGACACTGTCCTCTGTAGGTTAGGATTAGGATTAGGGTACACTACATAGCTAGTGAGGGCTAATCTAAAGTGTTACCAAAGTGTTTTGCTGTAACAGAATCTAGTTATTATTTGACACTGCAAGTCTGATTTCTATATTTTCAAGATTCAAGAATTTATTTGCCTTTTGCAGTAAAACCACATTGGAAAAACTGTGCGAGACAACCCCAGTGTGCACCAGAGCTCTTGCCACTTACTTACTTAGAAACAGAAGCCACTGAAAAACACAAATTGCTGTTTAAAAGATGAATGTATGAATCGGTAACAAATTTAACAACGTTCTGATGTAAAACGATCATGTCTGAGTCAAGAACTTTGTGAACTATGTGCACTGTGCCCTTGAGCAGGACACTTCTTAAACCTGTGATGGCGATAGTGTGACCTTGTGATTGATGGAGGCCTGAGACACTGAGGACTGTCAGCGCGTTTCAAGTTCCACTGAAATGAATAATGCAGACTTTTTTAGAGGCTGTGTTCTAGATGAAAGAACCTTCATCCGTCCCACAGCGGAGAAACTTCAATTCACTGATGGAAAAGTGGATTTAATTTTACACTCTGCAATGTTGTATCTGTCAGACTGGCCATCATTATAGTTATTAGAGTGAGGTTTTAGCCTTAAGTGTTCAGCATCAAGTTTTTTTTTTAGCCTTGAAGGTATATCTATTTATCATCATCAGTCATTTAGGACAACATTGGATCATTCAAAGATCCTCACTGAACTTTTGGAGTGAGTTTGCTGCACTGAAAGTAAAGGGGCCGAATAATATTGCACGCCCCATTTTTCAGTTTTTTATTTGTTAAAAAAGTTTAAATGATCCCATAAATTTCGTTCCACTTCACGATTGTGTCCCACTTTTTTTAGCCTTGAAGGTGTACAGGAGAATTGTCTACTGCCGCATGGATGATCAAGACTATTGGTCCTCCCATTTGTCAATCATTCTGGTCATAAGTGCTCGTTAAATCAGACCAGAGAGTTTTGTTCAAAAAGTGGAGAGGGCGGTACTTTCCTAAAATTTGGGAAAATCCTCCGGTTTACTGTACATTTAAGATTTTCCCTCCTTGAATTCAAGCAGCTTTTCTGTTTGGACCCTAATATTAATCACATTTGCACTATTGTTATTTGGGTTTAGTCTTTTTCTAGTGGATGCCTCTTGAGGATGGTGTTACCTGGACTCTGTTTGCAATCTATAATGTTGAATGTGCAAAGATTATATAGAAAACATGTGTATATCCCTAAATCTCAGCAGTCGTCTCGCAGGACTTTACAAAGTTGTGGTGGATCTGCCAACATCAGATCAGAGAGTCAAACGGTTCGAACACCGGAAATACAATAATAACAAACACATAGAAGCCATTGGTCCATACGGAACATAATGACCACTGTTCAGAAAAGTCCTTGAATGTCCCATGATTGTCCCTGTCCATAGACCCTCATCGAGCTTCCAAACAGTTTATATTGATATGAATGGATAGTTGAATGGCCAAATAAGGGGTCAGACAAAGTAGTTTGAGATAGATCTTCATAATTTTGCTTTGTTATTTGACCCCACATCACACAGTCTGTTTGCTCCGTCTCTGTTAGACCCAGAGGACCGGTGTCTGCTGCCCATGGAGGAGGGCAGCTGCGGCCGCTACACTCTGCGCTGGTATTTCAACAGTGTGGTCCAGGCCTGCAGACCCTTCATCTACGGCGGCTGTGAGGGCAACGAGAACCGATTCCTGCAGCCGGAGGACTGCGAGGAGGCCTGTCTGGGCAAAGGTGCTGCTGAATACTGGAGAGGAAGGGAGGACGGGGTTAGCCAGACAGAGGGACAGAAGGGAGAGCAGAGTGAGAGGCAAGAGAGAGAGCAGATAGAAAGACCAGAGAGAGAGGCAAGAGAAGTACCAGGGAAAGAGGCCAGAGGAAGATGAGCGAGAGACCAGAGAGAGACCAAAGAGAGACCAGCAGGGTGCTTGTGCAAGTCTTGAAAGTCTTAATAAGTATGGAACTTTCAAACACTTTTCCAGACCTTGAAAAGTCATGAATTTTGTGTGAAAGTCTTAATAAGTATGGAAAATAAATGTATGGTAGAATTTTACAGTATGCTCAAAGGCATTGTGAAATGAGAAATAGGCTATAAAACTATAATTTTACTAACTGGTCACGTATTAGCCTAATGGAATGATATCCAATCAACGCTTGCTTTTATGATTTTCGTGATGTCACTGCTAAGGTCATGGGGAAAAATAATATCAGTTTTAAAAAAGAGTCTGGAAAAAGTCTAGAATTTTAATTTGGAAAAAGAGCAAGCACCCTGGACCAGAGAGAAACCACAGAGAGGCCAGAGAGACACCACAGAGAGGCCAGAGAGACACCAGAGAGAGAGAGACAGAGAGAGAGAGACCAGAGAGAGAGACCAGAGAGAGACCAGAGAGAGGCTATAGAGAGGCCAGAGAGAGAGAGACCAGAGAGAGACCAGAGAGAGGCCAGAGAGAGACCAGAGAAAGAGAGACCAGAGAGAGAGAGACCAGAGAGAGACCAGAGAGAGGCTATAGAGAGGCAATAGAGAGGCCAGAAAGAGGCCAGAGAGAGAGACCAGAGAGAGACCAGAGAGAGGCCAGAGAGAGACCAGAGAAAGAGAGACCAGAGAGAGAGACCAGAGAGAGACCAGAGAGAGGCTATAGAGAGACCAGAGAGAGAGACCAGAGAGAGACCAGAAAGAGGCTATAGAGAGACCAGAGACAGACCAGAGACAGACCAAAGAGAAGTGGCCAGAGAGAGAGACCAGAGAAAGACGAGACAGACCAGAGAGAAGAGGCCAGAGAAAGACAATGAGAGCAAGACCAACGAGCAAATAAACCCGGGACGACTTCTGTATTTTGAAATGTGTGTAGTTGGTAATAGACAGGACTACATCAGTTTCAAACAGAATATTTTAAAATGTACATATTTCAACATCTCTTCATGAGTCATAAAGTGCCAAAGGCCATTATCTTGTACAGCACTTGCATCAGGCTCATCTCACGCTGCCTAAAGACATGTTAGAAACTGTTGAGCTGCACAGACTGATGTGTTAGGATCGTTATGCGCTACAAAAAAAAACATTACTCGCGTACTTACTATTTACAGTTACGTGTTTGCTGACGTTGAACCAGGCTGACCTGCCCTCTGTCACGCAGGTCCGAGTCCGTTCAGAAGAGCGAGATGATCCAGACCTCCTCCATCTTTAACGTCGACCACGGGAATATGTCCAAAGTCAATGCTATTTTTTTATTTATTGTTATTTTTTTGAAAACTGTTGTTGCTTTAATGAAATTGCACAATGTGGATTTGATAAAACGTCTCTATGTTGCTGACACTGAACCTGACAGACCATAAACCCGATCCATAATCCTAATCCAATTCTACTAATTTAAAGGATATGTGTTTAAACTATAACTCTACTCTACTCTACTCTACTCTACTCTACTCTACTCTACTCTACTCTACTCTACTCTACTCTACTCTACTCTACTCTACTCTACTCTACTCTACTCTACTCTACTCTACTCTACTCTACTCTACTCTACTCTACTCTACTCGGTGGCTGAGTGGATAGCGCTCTCGTCTCTCAGCAATAAGGTCCTGGGTTCGAATCCCAGTCGGAACGGGGTCTTTCTGAGTGGAGTTTGCATGTTCTCCCCGTGCTTGCGTAGGTTTCCTCCAGGTACTCCAGTTTCACCTACCACTAAAAACATGCACACTAGGTTAAATCCTCCAGCTCCAGTCCTGACCAAGCAGAGCATCAACATCTGGAGATGGGTTCCCGGGTGCTGTTACTACGGGGACCACTGCTCCTGACGTAAGCCTTAGCGGTATCAGGATGGGTCAAATGCAGAAGATGAATTGCACTAGAGGGATTAATAAAGTGTACCTTTACCTTTGCTCTACTCTACTCTTCTCTTCTCGGTTTTATTCTACTCTACTCTACCTGGTTGCGTTTCCATTATACACTTTAGTATCTGCTACCGTATCCTACCAACCTACCTCGAGACAAAAGAAAGAAGCCATTTTTGTGAGGAAACACAAACCGGCTCTAAATTGAGATGTTCGTTGTTTTGCCTCTATGCATTTATGAAGACGTTCTGAAAAAAACGCCCAGACAAAAGATCCAACAGGAAAAGGTCAATGACATAGAATCGTCAGACCTGCACTCCACCCGAGCAGGACAATAGGTCAGTGACATGCTAATGAGGAAGAATCGTTAGACCTAGCAGGATCATCAGACCTTCTCCCAACCTCAGCCATCTTAGCAGACGATAGATGTGTTTCAATGAGTTAGCCTCAGGGTCAGGGGGTGTCTAACCACTCCCACAGGTTATAAATCTCCAACTCGCAGCTGAGCTTTCTTTTCCTCGATAAAGGTCCTCGGATGAACAACAAAACTTTTGAAAAACTGCTAACTGAAGCACAGATGATGAGTGATCAAGCTTCCTTTGTTTTGAATTATCATTTTTTTTGACTGAAAGCTTACACAAACCTACCAACAAACCAGCATCAGTGGAAATGCTTTAGTAACCATGGCAACCAGCAGCACTCAGGCCAATCTCTGTCAGTCAGAACACTTGGCGTGGATGGAACCAGGGCCAAGGAAGGACCTGGGACTGGTTAAACAGCACCAGTTTAAACACTCCCATTTGGGGTAGAGTACAGATTAGATAAGAAAAACGTAATTTATCTCACAAAGGAGAAGTGTACATGTCACATTTGGCATTCGCATCAGATTGTGCAAAAAAGAGAAATGTGCAGCATATTAAGGTTATAAATAATGACTGTGCAGGATATTATGCACTATAAAGAAAAAAGTGGCAATAGCAGTGCTGGTTCTTCAGTCCTCGAGCAGGTCATACAGTACATGACTTAAAGTGACTTATTGTACAGTCTGACAGCGGTGGGAATAATGGCCCGATAGAGCAGAGTAGAGTTGGTGGAAACGGGGCTAATGTTACAACAAGGAGCCACAGCTTTGCACTTTTTTACTTGTGTTGAATTTCCTGCTTTTGAGTCCCTTCGTTGTTCAGACTCATATCGAGAATTTCAGATAATTAAATTGCTTACTCACTTACTCTCTGAAATGCAAAGTTTGGAGCTGCGTATGGGCCATGATAAGTTTCGGTGCTCTTCTACTATTTATAAAACATGGCCCAAACAGATCCCAGGCTCTTTACAGAAGAATATCGGCCTGATAAGCCAAACTGGTGATTATCGACGTCTGTGTGTCTTACAGCGTGTTTAAAATTAGTTTTTATCTTCAAATCTCCGGTCGGTGCCAAACATTGAGTCCCATTCTGTCTATTCCTCTGTCTATTCCCGGCTCGTCTCTGTCACCGCTCGGGGACACGTTATAATTACCAACAGGCCGTTATCATGATGGATATAGTGCGATCTTTTCTCCTGTAAATGAAGAATCCACAGTATTTTGTACATACTTTTGTTTTAAAGGGGACTGTTGTCTGCGAGACCGTGGTGCTACTGTTACTGTGTTTATAGAAAATGCTTTTACAAAATGTGGTTCTGTGTGTTTGTGTGATGTTGCATTTATACACATTTTAATAAATTACAAGTTTGAGTAAAGTGACTGGAATACATTTACTTAATGACCCGGAAAACCAACATGAGATGTGTGTTTGGAGCATAGACTGTATGAAGATGGACAACGCTAACCCTCCAGCTCAGTGAAGCACAATATGGATAAGGTTTTGCTCCAAGTGAAAAGAAGCTCTGGGTTCTATTCACTTAAAAGTAAACTCCTCTGCCTCAGAAATGGTTTGTGTCACAGAGAGACCAGAGAGGCATGACCTAGACCAGGTGTCTACCTTTTTCACCCAGAGAGCTACTTACCCAGGACGATAAAGGCAGAGAGCTACTCCTTTTAGCGGCCCTGGGGAAAAATTGTGATATCTTGGTGTGAACAAGCCTGATATTGGGTATTATTTATCATTGTATATTTGTTACTAGTGCTAAAAATAAGTGCATTTACAATAATGATCATGAATAATGGAACCTGGAAAGGGGTGGCGAGCTACTGGTTGGAGAACCCTGAGCTAGACTATAGGCCAGTGGTGACAAACGCATTGAAGCTAAGGGGCTAATTGGAGGAAAATCTATGCCCAAGTGGGCTGGGGCGGTATAATTGTAGCGTAATAACATAAAAACAGCAGGAGGATCAGTGAGGGGCTGGTGCTTTGTGAATTGGGTGCAGCTCTGGCTGCCAGCCCCCGACCCAGAAATAGATTGAGGGAAAGAAAATGGAGGTATGGATGACGTAAAACTTATGACAACTCTTTCGGTTTTCGGGCCGGTTTAACGTCAATCAACAATCTAATGTCTCTACAAGTACACATACATACGACAACTTGAAGTCACAACACAACTGGGTTTGAACAAAACACAAATCTCGTTTCAACACATTAATCCAATATTTCACCAAGTTACTGCTGTTATTTCAGTCACTCCACAAAAGACAGTTATTTGAACAGAACTATAGGCTGCAGTGTCTTGTGTTGCATTTTAGGTTGTCCACCGTCGACTGTGATCCTGAAGCCTGACATCTTTCAGCTTCAAATATTCCATCAATATCAGGAGTCACATCCTGAGTGGCAGCCAATTTCAGGATGTCATTCAAAAGCCTGCGCACGAGCCATGAGCGTGGCTTTGTTTTATTAAAGTTCATGAAGCAGGCGGGGGACAATCAGTGATACCACCCAAGTCACACAGCACCAGCCCCTCGCTGATCCTCCTGCAGGTGGTGAGTCCACAAGAGGATGGCTGCTCTGTCAGTGTGAGCATAGTCTTGATCTTTCAGTGGGGGCTTCAGGCAAAGTGGGGTTAAGTGTCTTGCCCAAGGACACGACAGCAGCAGACATCAGTGGGAGTTAGTGGAGGAGGTCTCTAGGTGAGCTTGAATTTGCAACCTTCAGGTTCTAAGGCCAGAGCTTTACCAACTGAGCCACTGTCGCCCCAGCTCTGTCTAAGCCAGCTGCGGTAAATTTCACCTTTCAAATCTGAGTCAATCTGAACGTCTGTGAGACAAACTGAGGGTTTGTAGGAATGTTTTTACATTAAAATAATAAAACATCCTATAAGGACACAGATAAGGGGGATTGAGTGAGGACAAAAGGGTTCCATTTAAGCACATTTTATTCATCATTTAGCTTATTTTGTACTTTGCACTCGTTATTCAAAACAATTGTAGTAGAGATTTCAACCACTTATTCTTTGACTACACAACAGGAAGATAGTGGTAAAAAAGACAGCGTAAAAAGACGACAGCGGGGTTGTGCTGCGCACCCGGCTCTCTCAAGCAGATTCCACTTCAGGTAGGACACGTTCTCTAGGAGTTCTCACTGGGGGATGACTCCCAGCTTCAGAGGACCACCGGGGACCACACACACCCGGTCTACACTGAAAGCACCTCCAGAGCCATCGGCTACCTGCTACGCGGCGTACCAACACCAAGCCCCGGCGATCCAAGATGGCGCCCTATTCAAATGAATGGTCGTGCTCAGTGGCGCTTTGTGACGGTATGGGGGCTGAAAGATTAGCGGAACTCGCAAAGATCTATGGGAAACTCGCAAAGATCTATGGGAAACTCGCCTGTATTTGGGCATCGTCTGGTCCTCCCGGTTCTGCGCAGTGGATGATCTCCCATAATGCGTTGCGCCAAACACGCGTGTGTGGGTCTCACACAGGGTCTCACGCACGTGCACAGAGGGGCTCGGCTGGGCTCTGACCAATCAGAGCAGTTCATCAGAGCGGGAGTTAGAGCGAGAGCCAGACGAGCAGAGTTTGTGGCAGTAAAGTGTGGATTTAAACAAAACCGAAGGATTTAAGAAGAAAAAAAGTTCAGGATGACAAGGGACACTAAAATCCTCACAAAATCCGACCTTTATGAAAGTTCTCTGTCAGCTGAGGTTGAGCTGTTTTAATATGCATTGAGTTCTATGGGGAAAATTTCTGGGTAGCCCACGTGAATTTAGTCTGTTTCAGTCTGCAGTACCGCGAGAATCCTCTGAGCACATGAGTTATTCAGCTACAAGCTAGTAATACCCTATCCAGTTATTATAATAGATCCATGACCAACACCCAAATACCAAGCCCCGGCGATCCAAGATGGCGCCCTATTCAAATGAATGGTTGTGCTCAGTGGCGCTTTGTGACGGCATGGGG